ATGTCTGACATAAAAAAGATTAAATCTTGATTTCTTATGATGTAAAAATATTTCACTTGAATCTACAGTGCCTTTTAAACAGGATATGATGCTGCTATAATTCAACACATGCTGCTTATTTATATATAAACGGGTGATAATGTTTCAAATTCAAGTGCCAAATTAGTTATACTTCTTCAACGTGAAAACTCATGCAAACAGTGCTTAGCATTAGTACACGCTACAGAGCACAATGTGCACCGAGCCGTAACAGTTTCACTTTTAACCTACAAAAACACAGACAGAATTTGCTCAGTCCCAAGGGACCCGACAAGTGGTAAAAAGGGAAAGCTGATGGCTGCTTTCACTCAACATGAGACCACCTGCAGTGCTGTAAATATGTGCTGTTAGTTGACTTATTACACGACAAGCATGAGTGCTTTTATTTTTCAGCTGCAGCATGCGCTAAGATCTACTTACAGCCCTTTTTCCTTTCACTGTAGATGTGAACAGGATGTGGATGTAAAAGCAACGAATCTTTGCTGCATTCACTTCCAGCTTTCAGAATTTCACTGCATTATACATGTATTTCTTCCAGCATTCCTGTACCAATTTCATGTTAGTTTCAACTGTAAACCATTACTGCACGCAGTGTTATCATACTGTGCCTTTTTAGTGCTTCTACATGTTGGTGGATCAGAGCAGGAAGAAAGACCTTCAGTTAGTCTGTGCTCCGCATGACGCTTGTGGCACTGACAGACATACTAAGCAGCAACACATCATACAGAACTGGATTTCAACATCGGTGTTTAAAATATTTATGTCAGCAGAAAGAGCGGGGCTGAAAATGAGGAGGATTTGTGCCATGATCAGAGGAAGTGGAGCCCCTTCATGCTGATTTTCTCAACTATACTGATACCAGCACACAATGACATGACCTTGTTTCAGATGACTTTCCTACTTAATGTCAAGTTACGCTAAAGGGACACAACACCTATGGGAGGATGAGACCTAGATTTGATTTCTCCTGGGTTTTGTACAAAGAATATTGTGACAAATTGCTCTTTAATTTTTAATCAGATGGCATAATGATAGCAAAACATGCTTTAAGCGTGTCAGTTATGACAGGATTCATTATAAGTTCACCGGTGTTCAGCAGCTGCTTTGCCTTCGTCATATTTCAAACTATGAGGCTCAAAGCAGAGGCAAATGAGCTTTGTCCCATGCAAATTGACATGCCAGGCATCTCTTGATAAAACTCTGCTGTTCAGTCTCTTCACTCTGAATCCTGCAGATTCCTGGCTACCGTTTCCAGTTATTCAGTTGTAATGTGGAGAACCACTTCCTACCCCACATCTTTCTGCAGAATTACACAGAAGTACAAGAGTACATGTACATTATGCACTGAAGTACTACAGGTAGGACCACAGGTGGGCCTGTACCATAGTCACTGGCAGTTAAATCAACTGCAGGTATTTCAGTCCCAGCATAGATTGACTGCAGCCTGATGGTGAATAATAGTGACAGTACTGTACTGTGACTTTATTTAACAAGTATTCATTCTGACTGTAATGTTTGCTTATGTTCTGGCAGGCTATCTGTATCCCTATCTACTCCAGAATAATAATGACATGAGGCTGTCAAGAAAAGCTCTTTACCTGCCACCCACTGGTTTGTTATCAGCCAAGTCACAGGAGCTGAGCAGAGAATGGTTATAATGTTTACCTGCAGTATGTACAGGTGTTGAGAGATGAGCAGAATGTTTAATGAATTATGAACATAATGGGCAATGGGCACAGTTATGAGGATACCAGGTTTAATAATCCATTTCCAAGACTATGCCTGGCCTTGGCCTTTATTTGGAGCACTGTACTGATTCACATACATGCCAACATCCACAGAGGCATGCCACAAAATCAGGACTTGTGGATGAGCTCTTGTGGCAACTTTGTCGTTGCTTCTTCTATTTTTCCCCAATCTGACAGTGGGAATAAATCATCCATGTCCAATTTCCTGAAGTTTTCCTAATATGGGTGTCAATTAGTGCAGGAGTGCTACTGTGGCCACAGCTTTACAGCCTGCAAACTGGGCTGCCGCAGGCAGCACAATGCATTAGCGCATGATGAGCTGTCAGAGAGGATTATTTCAGCCACGCCAGTCAGCAAAGGGGGTGGGCGCCGCTCTGCTGCACTAAACCGAGGAGAAGGAGTGGGCGGGAGACAGAGAAGGGAGAGAAACACATAGAGGAAAGAGGGAAAGAGAAGAAAGTGTCCATTACACCGGGTGGATTTTTCCAGAGCACCGATGTTGGAACACTCTTCTGAGCTGGCCCTGGTGCAGAGTTTGTATGCCAACAGCATGCGCTGTCCCCCCTCTGCGGCCGGGATCTCTGTCAGGAATGAAGACCTGCCTATGAGGTACGTTGGGGTTGGCCCCTCATTCAAATCTGGGCTAGCTTTTGTGGAGCAGCCCGTATTTGGACTGCCTCTTTGTCTAGGCTGGATATTGTCATAGGATGTATTGTTTCCAGTTGAGGCGTTCTTCCTGCTGTGATTGTGACTGTGCGCAGTGTGTTCTCCTGGTTTCCCTACATATTTTTTTTTCCAGGAACCCAGAAACTATTTATTTGAATCTCATAAATTTGGCTGATTAAATTAATCCCATCTTCACAACATAAAATGAATTCACTCAGTAGTACTGCTTTACTTTTAAATGGTTATAATGTAATTGGAATAGGAAGATCAATAGCTTTGCATTGTCATATCATTAAATTTCCATTCCTCTTCTATTCAAAGTTCCACAAGGGCTCAGACACTTGCATAAACTATAAATAATGAATGTGTTAGTGATGCAGGTGTTTCCCTCTGAATTGCACAGTTGACTGAAAAACACAAAGCTGTGTGACTACATATCTACTGAAACCATCCAGGGCCTTCCTGTACTTCCTCATTAAAACACAACAAAAAATACCAATTATCTTTAAAAGAACAAGAAGAAATGTTTCTATCCATTGTGGAATTTGCATAAATTTAGGGAAACTGGACATTGATAAAATGGTTTTATCATATGTGCTTAGAATATCTCGACACAGTGGATTTCCTCTAGAGAGCTGATGAAGTTCCATCTCTCCATTTTCAGTTGGTCGCCATTACTTTCAGGAAAGGCAGAGCTTAGAAAAAGTGTGCCTTCAAATTCAAGATGACGTATTTGAAAAGACACAATGTGGCCAATTTTTGTTTGAAGCTGGGCTAATTTTATTTGTGCAGTTTGTCATGAAAGGGTGCAAATTTAAACGCTGGACAGTGATGACTGACCCTTGGGACTTCAGTTTCACTGCATGAGGGGAAAACATTTGATGTAAACAACAAAAGCATGGTACGTGTGGAGGATTATGATAGGATTACAGTAGTAATAATCTCAGATTAAGAACAGGAGGCCAGTATTAGAAGGTGCCAGCAACTAGGCATTGGCCTCTGGAATCCACTCCAACACACATCCCTAAAGAAAAGCCAAGGAGATGCATGCCAGATGGTAGAAATAAACTGTTATGATGGCATTATGTACCGCACAGAAAACTGTACTGTGTATTGTATGTATTGTACACCCACAAGGGAAACAGGGCTGCTCTTTACAAGAATCCTGCTTCTTTTATAACAAATCTATTCAACAAGATCCCCTGAGATCTAATTGAGTCAAAGGAAATATGTGGATGCTGCAGATGGGATGACATTATTGTATTTTTCCTCCATCTTAATGAAACCTGATTCTCCAGAGATGTTTAGACTACCTTTTTATAGCAGGCCCTCAAGCATAATGGTAATGCATGTCGCAAAGTGGGCTTGTCTGCATGTATGACAAAATAGGTCGCATATTACATTATGCATACAAACCTCTTTTAGGCACCATTTAATAGAGAATACTCTGCCCTGATGCCAGGTTGCCTTGAAATTGCTATGGATACAAGGATTAAGTCGGATTTCATAAATGGGATGTTTCTTAACACTCGCTATGAATAATATTTTTGGATTGTGCAGCTGCTGGAGCAATAATGAATGGTTTGATAATTAGGCTGGGCCCCCCCACCCTTCCTCTCTACTAAGGCAAACAGTACTTGACAACGACCCCTCCTACCTTTCCCCCAAGTGTAGAGGCCTCGCCCTGCAAGTCCAGCACAACAAAAGAAGATAGGCTCCCCCTCCCCCAGGGGAACAACAGCCCAGCACAAAAGGGAACATGACCTATGACCTTGGGGGAAAGCAAGAGTGAAGACAGCCAGAAAAACTGGATTTTAACAATCTTACTTTTGTTTTGAAGTGATTTATTCACCTATCCACAATACAAGGCAATGGACAAGCTGCAAATGATCTTATTTATTTGACTAACCCAATAAAGAAGGCCAGGTGCCTAATTTAGATTCCAATGGAAAATATGGAAACAGGAGCAGCACTATTAATCATGATGGTAATGACCTGGGTACTATATTTAAACACTATAAATGTCTCTCTAATAAGGATCATTAGATCCCTGACTCATCCACAGACTAGCCTCCTTTCACAGTAAGGCTTGACAGGATCTGATTCTTCTAATGTGAATTTTTTCTTTCTGAAAATGCTGTAGGAGTCATTACAGGGATATTATGGTGATGCCACAGCAGATAAAACATCATAATCTACAAATAGGTCAGTCAACTCTCTATAGAGCACCGTGTACTCGTCCCAATAGGGCCATTACAATAATTTAACATCGGGGTAGAAGCACAGTGTGGCTTGCTGAGTGGCAGCAGCAGCAGCAGCAGCAGTAGGCAGCATGGTTTCAGACTTTTGTTGAAGAGGCCACGCCTCTGGTTTGCTGCAGCTCGGTGTGCAGTGTGACAGCGGCTTGCCTGAAATTATTTCAATCGGGGACGATAGAGAAATTAGGAGGAAGGAATAAGGCGGATACCGGTGCCCCCTCTCTCTCTCTCCCTCGCTCTCTCATGCAGTTTTGAAGAAGACGCCCCCTCCCTGCACCTGTTCTGCTTCGTCTTCTCGCCGTCTCGCAGGAGTTGAGCCTCTTGTGAGTGAGCGGACGTCGCTTCTCATTGTTAGATAGACGGTGTTTTGAGCATGACTTCGGCGTTCAACCTAGATTTCCACCCTCTGACGGAAAGTCGGTTAATGACTTCGAGTGACACAATGTAAGTAATCCAACTATCGATTTGTGTTGCGTTGTCTTTGCCAAGCTAAACATTTGTGAGTGCTTGTAGAGAGAGAAACAAAAAAACAGAGACAGTTCGGGGCGAGTTGGGAGTTGGCTAACGTTAGCTTAACTGGCAACTGGGATGCTAACGTTGCTAATGACACGGTACGCTCACCTGGAGTTGAAGTAGTTTGACCAACTTCGATCATAACGAGTGTAACCACAACAGAAGTCGGTTAAGTAAATATAACACCACTCCTAACTACGACCGAGCCCACACCTTCTGAGCTAACACGTCTTACTCTCAGTGACTGGAGGAAAACGCAGTTTGCTCGGCGCTACAATAGTCAAGTGACATGTGCTTCCGGAGATCACACGTTTCGGTATCAGCTCCAAAAAACAGCATCGATTAGCGTCTAAAACAACAGTCTGGGGTGTCTTTTGTGCTACTCTAACACAGCACCACCTCATTGTGTGGCGCTTTAGTTAGTTATTTAGAAGTGGACAAGTTTACGTTGTCGTGTGTTCTGCAAACGGTAGGTGTTAAATCGGTCAATAATGAACGGGTTGATAGGGAAGTGCCTTGAGTAGAGTTACCGCATTAAGTTGACCTAAAGTTTGCTAATAATACATTATGTTGCCGACTTAATATCTGCTTGTTGTCTGTGTTATTGGCTTAAACTCAACAGCTTGAGTGGACCTTGTTGGTAGGCGGCACACGGGCTGTGTCTGCTAGCTGCCGAGCTAGCTCGTATCGCTAGCTGTAGCTCTCAGACACTGGTGCCCCCCTCCATGTTGAATGTAGAGTGCTTACTTAACGGCACTAAACACGTGGTTTCCTACATTATTGAGCCATTAATGGAAATCTTGTGACAGGGCATGTAAACAAGGGAGAAAAAGACCAAGCACAGGGGTCCATATAATGGCTCCTGTCCTCGTCATAACTTCAGCTAATCCCGTTTGACAAAAACATGATCAAAACCACAGCATGCTTTTACAGGACTGTTTAAAATTTAAATGTTTGTACTTTCAGGAATGCTATCTTTATATTGTAACAAAACGGGCCCTGCCCTTTCATGTAGTAGTCTGCCTGGTCTCTTGTAAGAGTGATTCTTAAAAGCATTTTCTCTGTTCTTTTCATTAAATTAGGTCAGTGGGGTTTGTATGAATGGCTGCAAGGTCAATTCTTGAGCTGTGCTTTCAGATGCTTTACCATTCATCTTATTCTACTATGATCAGGGCCAACAAACCATTATTTTCATAAATCTTATTTTCTTGATGAATTGTTTGGTCTGTGAAGCATGAGAAAACTGAAAATTGCCCCTTTCAATATCTGAGGTCACAAGATGTCTTGGTTAAATATCTTGTTTTATTTGAACAATCCAAATCTACTGTAATGTAAAACAAAAAAAGCTTCAAATTCTCGCCAGGCCTTTTTGCTTGAAAAAAAAAGAGACATTTAATTTTTTATAAAAATAGTTGCAAATTACTTTTTACAATTGGCTAATCAATTAATTGATTAGTCATAGCTTGAACTGTGATTAGCTGCAGCCAGCTGTTTTGATGCTTAATTGTAATCTTAGATACGAATAGAAACTGCCAAAAATTCCCATTTTTCAAATAATATTTTACACTTTTGAAGAGTATTTTTTGAAGAATATCTCATCTGTAATACTTGCCAGCAGTGAGGTGGTGATTACATCTTGCCCCAGCTATATTTGATTGATTCATCCCTCTGATTGTTGACAGTGAGAGTGACTATCAGGGCTTAAACGTGATCCTTTGGCAGTCAACACAGCCATAGTGCTATGTCAGTAAGCTAAGCGTCACAGTGATCCTTTTTGTTGTGGCCGGGGAGCTGTTGATCTGTGCGAAGTGTAGGATCTTGGCACAGGGTCCGGGGCTGCTCAGGCCAGCTGTTCTGTTCTCTTCCTTTGCTGTGAGGGCGGTGGTGGGAGAGTGCCTTGCAGCCAGATGTTGACGGCCAAGAGCAGGAGGGCTCTGATCTAGCCTGTCACCTGTTTCTCTGCTCCTGCTGCTAGCATGGTGCATCAATAATTACAAGACTAGCTGTCCTGGAGCTACATGCACATAGCCTTGGAAAGCTCATAATCAAGTCCCCTATCTCCAGTGTGGGGTGGTGTGATCGAAGGTTGAGCAAATTCTTCTGCAAACTTTGCAAACAAAAGATATTGTGGGGCAGTGTTACATAAGACTAGATTCACCCACCATGTCCATAAAAAAATGTCAGTACTGCCTGGCTGTTTAGACATTAACCAAAGTCTACACTAGCAGCATGTTGAAGCAGCAATATGAACTGAGCTCGTGATTCTGAAATTGTGTATCAATTAGCATAATGTTTTCAAGATTATTCACTGTCTAGGTCGGTATGCTTGTGAGCTTATGCTCTGTGCCTGCAGTCCACATGAAGTGGAATCAGCTGATTGGCTGAAAAAAGCACTTCTTCAGTGTCAAGTCAAGAGAAGCAGTAATGGATTGGATTTAGAGGATGTGATAACAAGAGAACCAATTCTGAATTGATGCTTTTGTGGAGCAGAAAGCGTCTGTGCACTGCAGGTATCGGCTGTGTGTGAACTTATTCATTAATTAATATATAGTGCATTATATTTATTGTCCTATTTTATGCAAGTGTTGAATGGTGAATGTGAATTTTATCTCCCTAAAAATGAAACAAAAGTTAGAATTGCAACAATTAATTTATTATTCATTTGACAGAAAATTAAACTACAACTTCTTTGATAATTGACTAATCGTTTTAGTAAATGCCAATTTAGACAAATATTTCCCGGTTCCAGCTTCTTAAATTTGAGAATTTGATGCATTTTCTTTTAATTTTTTGTGATCGTCCAGTAAAACAAGCCATTTGAACGCATCACCTTCAGCTATGGGAAACTATAAAAGGAATTTTTTTTTACCAATTACATTTTACAGGCAAAGCAGTTAATCAAGAAAATAACCTGTAGATTAATAAATAATGAAAACAAAAAATTAACTATCCATGGCATGTACATCATTTTCTTGCTCACTGTCCCACAGTGTAAAGTGTCTGATTTTATACATCTGACAATTTACATGTAGACTTCCCACTGTACTCAGAAGAATTGGTGTGTTATCCTTATAATAATTAATGATGACAGTGAAATCACTTACAAAAGACAGTGTTTTCGTTCATCTGGCCATCATCAGTGTCACAATAGCTGCTTTCACACATGCACTACAACCTTGAACTTTTCTAGACATTACCTGGGGAAGCTGCATGTGTGATCACAAATGTCTGCATCAGGAGAACCGGACATTAAATGAACTTGACCCTGCCAGCTCCCCAGTATAAAGTCTGTGTAATGTCAGATTGAGCCCGTGTGTGAATAGAGCAGGTTATTGTACGGAGAATTCACAGCGAGCGAGTGGGCATGTTGAAGACGTTTCTATTCTGCTTCCTGCATGCTCCACCCGGACGCCACCCTTCGCCTAAATGTAGTATAGTATAGTATTTCCAGTAGGTGTGAATGCAGTGTAGCTGCATTTTAAAATGATAAACACATAGGTGATTCCTGTCAAGGAAATTAGCATTGCACATGGCAAGGCAAACATGCTTGCATACACATCGCATACATGACAGTCAATGAGCATCCAGCATTGGACCAGAAAAGAAGGTAGGAACTAGCTGGACACAGAAAAATGTGGGATCTCTTCAGTAGATCCACCATCGACTTATATACAGTTAGTTATCAGTTTTGATGTGTTAAAGAAAAAAATATAGAAAGGGGAGTGATTGTGACACTGATGAAGACCAGACAGCCAGAAAGGTTTTCTTTTGTAAATAAATGAATTTCTTGTCATTGAGTGCAACCTCTTCTGTCATCAGTGGAAATCACCATTGTTTGACTCTACGCCAGTGATGACACAAGATGATGACATTTAAAAAGTGTCTGAAGTCTCATTTCACTGCTCACTTCGGTGTAACCTACTGAGTGTCTTTTATAGGAATTAGCAAATGAGGGATTTTGGACACAACCATAGAGGAATTTGTGGTATGTAATACATAAAGTGAATGCAAAAAGTTACATGTTTATTAAGGTTTTGTATTAGAGATGTTACGTGGCCTATCACAGGTTAGGATAATAGGTGACTGAGTAAGTCAGTGCAGTAAGCACACTCTGTCAAAGTAATCAAGAGTAATTGCTGCTTTTAGTGGGCAAATGTCTCTTACGGCAAAGCTGCTGCCTGTTCTGTGAGCTCCACCTGAAGATTTAGATTCATGCTCCATCTTACGCTGACAGAGGTGTGAGCACGGTTTATTTCATCAGTTGTTTCACTGTTCGTTCACACAAGCTTTACTTTGGCAACGTCATCCATAATCACCAGGGACACTTGGTGTGATTATGGGGCTAATGGGGCGGGCCTTGTCATCAGATGCTGGCCGTCTGTTAACATGCAGCCCATTCAGAGGCTGATTGAACATGTCTGTCTTCATCAGGGGAAATGTAACAATGAAATCAAGCCATATTGAGCTGAGCTGGAGTTAACGCCAGGAGGAAAATATCTTAATAACTTCTCATCAGAATCACAGTTTGCTGATTAGGGCCGACCACTTGGTACAGAAATCAAATAACACATTGTCCTCCAGTTTCTGGCCGCAAGCGACATCGATTCTTAGTCGTCATTTGTTTTTCCTAACCTGGGCCGTGTATCTTGAGTGTTTTTTGGTCATGGGTCCTACAGCAAATGTTCTGTAAATCCTGCTCCTGTTTTCAGTGGCCAGTTTTTAACTTCAAGCCTGTCATGAGGATATTTTTATTCCAAGCTTGTGAAACCTTATTCAACCTGTCAAAAAATATTCTGCCTCTTTGTGTAGTAGTGGAGAAAATAGATGGAGTTGGAAGAGAGAGCCTTTATAGAGCCTTTATGTTCTACTTGACAGATGTCAAGATATTACCAAGGCATTAGAGGCATTCTGTGTCCTGTTGAATCAGCTTATGAGGCCACTGGTTTCCTGAAAGAAGAAACATCTAATGTTTTTTTTTGTTTGTTTTTTTTTGAGGGTATTACTAGCAAACAGCTGTTTCAGTTCACAGATTTTTCCTCTTTTCTCAGAAGCATTACGTGTGTCTATGTGAACCTTGACTTTTTTTAATCCCCAATAAAGCATGACAGCAGTGGTTGCCTAAACGGGCAAAGAAGCAAGTTTTAGTCTATTACTCAAAACAGGAAGCCACTCAGCATTATGTTCAGCGTTGCCCTAACAAGATTATTTTTGATCGAAATCATAATCAAAGCAACATTGTGATTGTTAAATTGACATTTCAAGCACCAAATAGCAATTCTAAAACTACAGTGAGAGAAGGGATTCTTAAAAAATGTAAGTGACCACAAATAGCAGGGAGTGTGAAGAAATTGTTTTCCATCAGCAGTGGTGACAAAACAAAATCATGTGACGTGTTGTCCGTGTGACCCCTGGAGGTTTAAGGATGAGTATCGTCCAAATGCACAATGCTGAGCTTTCAAAATCATGTACATTAGCAGGCCAATTGGCTGGCTTTCTATTATGGGCACAGTAAAGGTGTCGCTGGCATACTTGCACGGTCAGAGCTCACCAACAGGACACATGGTCCAGATAAATCACCTGTTTTTATGGGTGGTGCAGCAGTAAGCATGCAACTGTCGTGGCTCTGGCTCCAAATGACTCGTCAGCTGCTGCAGGGCGTCTTGGAGTGCAATGAGCTGCCACATCACAGGGCTGTTTGTGGAAGCTCAGCAAAAGACTTCATCACTTCTGTCTGTGAGCACTGAGTCAGGTGGTGGAGGGAACAGTAGGGGTAGTATTGACAGAATCAGTTGTAGTATTTTTGAGTCAGTACCCTTATCAATAATGTGCCAACATTTTGTGTATGTCTGAGGTGAATGAAAATGAATTTGTGGAACTTAAATCTTAAATACATTGGAAAAAGTACCAACAGCAACATATCTTTACTGAACAGTGTAGGGGTTACTCTGACCTCACTGAGCCCATTGAGTTTTCATTTAAACTCACTCCTGTAGAAACTATTGACAGCACCTTTGCATTGGCATAATGCCATTTCTGTATTGACATAATATTATGCTGCTTAAACGGCTTGATACTCCAGTTCCACTGATAGATACTAGTTTATATCAGCAAGTGACACTTAAAACTGACATGCTACTGGCAGACACTGATCCTTGTAGGCAGCTGTCACCTTTAGGTTGGCTAAGCTAGCAGGGCTAGTTATAGCTAATTACCATGCCTGTAAAGGAATCACTTCTTCAGTTTCTTGCCGAGAGTTAGATGAAAGGCCGGACTACTTCTTGTCCAGGAGCAATAATTTCACTTTTAAATATCATGTCTGTTGCTTCTGTTTTCCCTGTCCTCCAGTTTTAACTCTCGTGGTCCACACAGCTCTTAGTATGACCGTGCTTGCCTGTGTACTTGTTCGCTGTACAGTATATAGTTCTGTGAAGTAAAACAATCAATGATTTTTATGAAAGGAATTGCTCAATTTCATGGAGTAGTATAAATGTATGACATAGATATTTTTGTGTTTTTTTGCAGTTATTTTTGGTTTGAGTAGATAGCAAAACCAAAGAATGTATTATTGCAGTTACAATCTCTCTAACACTGTCCTAAACTGAAGAGACAATCCACAGCTACAGGAGGCTTAGGAGTTGAATGAATGTTAAAGGGAGTATTTTGAGCCTTCGTGTTTTTGTGTGCTGTGACACAAATCCAGTTTTTCAAGTGAGGTTTGCAGCGTTTTTACAGCGAGATTTCATCAAAGGGCCCTCAGCAAAATGGCGTCGCAGTGTCACTGGCAAAACTGGATAAATGGTTTCACACACCAGTGCTGTGGCCTTAGCAGACGTAGCCTTCGATGTGTTCCAAAGCATCCCTCTGACTTGGCCCATTGTGCTATAGAGGAACGGTGAATAGTGTTCTCCAGCATGGGGGAACAATATGTGATTGTTCCCCTGCTGTGGTGAAGAAGCTGTAGGTTACTCTCTGTACCATCGCCAAAGCGCCTGAGGAGGAGATGCACTGCAAAATCTCTGTCTGCTAACCAGCGATTCTTGGAGGTTTAGAGCTCTGCAGTGCTGTTTTCGTGTAGCTGTCGGAGCTGGTGGGAGGGGGGCACTCACCCCTTTTTTGGTGTAGAGGCTTTTGTTTGTGGTGCTTTTATCAGTTTATATGTCATCATCATTCGAATGTATTGACAGCCTCCAGGAAAAAAAAAAAATCATACTGAGTGTGGAGTGGGATTTCATAAAAACAAGAACTGAAGTGTGAATTGTTAGTATGTCATTTAAGTCCCTCAAGGAGTTTGGTGTTTCTGCGGAACGGCTGGGCTCAATTTGTAAGAGATGGATGGCTCGCGTCCAAAGGTCTGTTTGTTGTTTGTTTTTTCTACATTAGTGTATCTTTTTGTCAGTCTCACTTATGCATTGTTGTTTTAAGAAGTTACGGACTGTGTGTGTACCATAGTCTCTATTTTCTGTCTTTTACCAGTGATCCATGGCCCTTTTTGATACTCTACAATACCGAAGCGTGTATTGGGAGTGATGCTTTATGCTTAACATGATCTCTCTCCCTCAGTACCCATGGATGGCTGTTGTTGAGGCCTTATTCCAGAGTCTCTACTGCCATCAGAAAATGTTTGTGTGCTTGATTTTGTGTGAGTGAGACAAAGGTGCCGTAGTTGTAAGTACACTGGTATTGATTCTCTCTCCCAAAGGCTTGCCACAAAGGAAAATGACATGATTTATTATTTCACTCATGGCCATCATTGCTCTACTACCCCCAGTCACTCAGATTGTTGTTCTTAAGTAGTTGACTGTGCAATTCAGAATGTTTACATCATCCAGTATTATAAACAACATAGTGTTTCAGCATCTACTTTGGTGTACACATTAAGTAGCCACACTGCTCAGGATGTAGTGCTCTTTAAAGCATTTGACTCCTTCAAAAATGATTGGTGAAAACAGGTGCATCAGGAAGTATTTGGATTTAAAAAGGATAATTTCAAACTATTTATGTGGTTGTTAAAATCCATTGTTAATTAAATTATATTCTTTTTTTTAACTGGGTCTATTGCTAAAATCCAAAATATTGCTACTACTTTTACTGTCTACTGCACAAATAATTACCACAAATAATTGGTTTATAATGGCTGTCAAACTGCCCTCCACAACTGGATTTTTTTTTTTTCATTAAGCTCTTTTTGCAGACAAATACATTGCAAATCTTTCTTAAAATAATTTGGAGCAGCACATCACTAACAAATTATTTGAGGGTGTATGGCAGAAACAATATATAGTGTACATTTATCAGATGTGCTAGAAACATTTGTTGCATCATTATTGTGACCTGAAATGGAAGAATATCTTGTCGTAGCAGACTACTTCCCCTAGAACAGATGTGCCCAAGGCTAACTGTGTGACTCTAAAGTTTACATTAGATTTTAACATAAGCTTGACAGAAACCGATGCACCACAAAAAAAAAAAAAAAACATGATGCAATGCAGCACTTGTCTGTAAGCTGTCAAGAACACTGCATTCCTGTGGTTTAATTTCATTGATTCTTTTGTTTCATTCAACAAAGATATATTGGTTGCATGTTGGTAGTTGTGCTCACAGAGTGTGTCCACACACTTCATACTACACTTTCTACCAAAGTGACAGAATTAATATCAATAAGTTGTTTTTTAGCCTGCTGCTAACCTCCGTTTTAGTTTAGATATTGGGCAAGCATTTCAAAGGATTGTCACATTGTTTTTGATATTGAAGTGTTCTGTCATCCTGTAATTCTTGGTGCTTCATTGTTGAATTTAGGTATGTCTTTGTGAACTTAATGCAAGACCACGGATTCAAACTTAAGAAATGAATTTTGTATAGACCCTTGTATACTAAGTACAGATTTTTTTCTGCTTGTTTCTCTTAGCAACGGCAGCAAGATGAATGGGTCGCTGGAGCATTTGGACCAGCCGGACCCAGACTCCATCAAGATGTTTGTGGGACAGATCCCACGCTCCTGGTCAGAAACGGAACTAAAAGAGCTTTTTGAGCCCTTTGGAGCTGTGCACCAGATCAACATCCTCCGTGATCGCACCCAGAATCCCCCTCAAAGCAAAGGTATGGTCAGAGTATAAAAGCACAGTGCCACATCATCTACCATCACATTTCAGCACAGTCCCCTTAGGAGTTGCACAGCATTGCTCGTCTGTACACACAGTGCACCTATATGTGTGCTTACAGATGAGATGATTCAATAGTCTTTTGCAGCAGGGTTAAAAAAAAAAAAAAACAAAAGAAAATTTATAACCCTGCTTTATAGAATTTTTTTTTTCTTTTTACTTTGCTTTACTGGTTTAAAAGCAGCATTGTATGAAGGAAGTGTTGCTCAACTGAAATTTTCCATTAAGACATCCATCGATGCGCTCACTTAGGTATGGTGCTCGAGATGAGCGATTCACTTTAGGTTGCAATTAGAGGAGACTGTGAAGTGGAAGCCCGCTGTCTGCAGAGAGCTGCCACTGGAAGTGCTCAGTCTTCCGTAACTAACTGCAGGTGAATAAAGTAAACGACAGTTTCCCTTATGTAACTGTCCTGGGTTTACACCACCACCCAAATTTCAATCCCTTGATGGTTGGATGACTCACTATGGCTAAAGGCACTAATCCACTCTTGGGTTTTAATGTGGTGGTACCATGTTTGATGCTGGACAGTGGTTTCACGATCCTGACATACCAAGCTGTCTGGCTGTCATTGAAGGTCTCTGGCCAACTCATAATGTTGTGAGGTGTGTCCAGAACCACCGGCACTATTTGACCCTTATCAGCCCCAAATTGTTGGTGTAGACAGTCTAAGAGAGATCGTCGGCTGACTGCTTGTTCAGCTAGGTGAAACAGTGATTTTACCTACTGAACACAGTTTATCCTTATTTTTTTACCTTTCATAAGTGAGACAGGCTTAAAACACCACAGCAATGCCACTGCTTTAGAATCACCTGCCTTTCTGGCATTCAGTTTCCCTTCCCCCCTCCTTCCTAGCATCCATGCAAACATCAGTTGCATAGAAGTAATTTACAAAAAGCAACAAGATGAGTCTGTGTTGTCTCGTCACATTCCAAAATCTCAGTCTCAGTCAAGGTGCTGCTTTTTGGCTAGACTGCAACTGCGGGGCCAGTCCTATAAATGCAAATGTCTGTCGCTGACTAACTAGTGATGAAGTTGCATCATTGGTCAGCCGGCCAAATGTTGGCATTTCCGCATTGACTGTTGCTCTTTCAAAATGATGTTTGTTGCTACATTAACGGCAGTTCAGACCCCTCTAGCAACTTTTTTTCAAAAAAGCACCTCGTGAAAAAATCTAAAAACTTTTTGGACAAAATGTCGGCTCCTTTCCATAGAAGAGAGCTGGCAGTATCACCCTGTCAGCACATATTTAGGCCTTCCCTCCACAATGATTTCCTGAATATGTTAATCACTGTATTATGACATTTAGAGACATTGAGCTACTTTTCACAATAAATCAATTTCGCACATTGACCATATTGAGGTCCAGACATATACCAGGTTTTGACCTAGTCTTGTTAACCTGTTATCAGTGTCTTATCCAGGCTTCATGGTTACCCGGGTGTTGGGGATGGTTACTCAGTCAAAAAGAGCCTTTAGTGTGTCAGCGTCATAACGGCAGTACAGCCTGTCACCAGCACACCACTCGAATCCACATGATCAGGCTTTTTAACAAAATGTACTCACACCTCATCATCACCAAATAATCCTGAGTGTGTTCAGTGGTTTACCAGAAAATCTCTAGGGTCCTTATTATGTGTCGTGTGTGTATATAAATATACAGCCAACACTGTGCAGTTCAGTGGGAGGCTGAAGAGTTCAAAGCCCCCTTTTTTTTCTTTTTTCTTTTTTTTTTTTTAAGCAGAGCCCTCCCCTGTTCTATGCGGAGTGTCAGCTGTGATGGCCTATTGACATGTTAATGCAATGTTAATGTATTCTAATAGATAATCTGGCCTGATCACAGCCGTCTTTCGCTCACCCAGTCTGTGAGAGGGGAATTTGTTGCTGCGGCACCCCCACGCCCATCAATTTGACTGCCGTCCTTCTTTCCCAGTCATCATACTCCTACTGGGAGAAGTGGGGGGCAGTTTCCATCTAAGCATGACGGCCTGATGCTGTCAGGCTCACGTTTATTTGCATGGCAGATAATACACCCTTCTTCCCTTTCTTATGTCATCAATCTTTCTTTTGTTTGATTTATTCTTTGAAATTGCTGTAATCCCACTTCCATTTTGATTGTTTACTTTGCCATGGACCTATTGAGGAGCCATCAGATTGCAGCTGTTTTTAGGTCACGTCTACTGCAGGTCATGAAAAAATCATCTGATAACTATCACGCCTCTCTGGATGGTTTATTTAGCTCCAGTAAATCGGAGGCAGGGCTAAGCAGCAGAGAAAGAGAGAACTCAGCTGGTTGTGAGAGAGAAGAGAGCAGCTCGATGCATATTAGAGTTCAACAGCCCTCCCCGCGGCCTGGGAGCTCCAGTAACAGCATAATACACACTATGTAGGTCAGAGACGCTGCAGTGCTCCACTTCCCCAGCCCAGTGAAACTGACAGGCTGGAACGCCACTGGCGGTCTGCTGGGACGGAAGGATGAGAGGCTTTTTTTTTTTTTCCTCCCCCGCTCTTCTTTTCTTCATCCCCCTCCCCCACCACCTCTCTTCTCCTGTGATTCCTCTTCCTTGCTCTCACTCCTGCTCTCTCTTGTCTCTTTGTGGTGTTGTTGTGCCTCCTGTATGTGTGTTTGAGTGTGATCGGATTCTTATGCAATGCGCCACCACTCTCTCTGATGTGTTGATGGTTGTTGGTACTGTGCCCTGGCTTGCCCAAGCTGTGTTGACCTGTGGACTGTGCATCAGTGCGTCCTGACAGCTATCTAACCCTGTCGTCATCTCTATGATCATGTCACACAACAGCCTTCAACTATCTCATTACTCCACTGTCCTCGCTGCAAGCTCCTACATGAGCTGTGTGCACCATCTAACAGTTGGTGCTAAGAATATCCTGTCACATGTTTCTAACGTGATGTGTGGAGAACATACTTTCATCCATTTAGCTTCTTTCCTCCGCAGTATTGGTGGTATTTACTGTCTGTATGCGTTGTTCTAATACTGTCTGTCTCCCCCCTCTTCCCCGCCCATTGTTTGTCCCTGTTTTCCACTCTGCAGGATGCTGTTTTGTAACTTTTTATACAAGAAAAGCTGCACTGGAGGCCCAGAATGCACTGCACAACATAAAGACCTTAAGTGGGGTGAGTAAGCACAGTATGGACTGCTTTTAGCTGCTTGAGCCCCTCTACATCCCTGGTGCAGGCTGTGAGCTGTGTGCTGGCCGATAATGAGCTCTCAGCTCACTGAACGCCTGTCTGGCCTGAGAAATATCTCAACCCCCACTATGCACGAACACCACACCAAGGACTCCCTCAGCCTCAACACACTGAATTGATAAGATGACCCAACACACACACACACACGCCCAGGTATCAGGTAAAGTATGCCTGACCAGGCAGCAGGTTATTCACTGAGGCACAGGATCCGATCGCCACAAAGTGGAACAAATTATTAATGCTTGTCTTCATGAATCATTGATGCACATCTGCATTTTTATTTCCCTAAGTTAGAGGTATAAAACTAGGCGAGTTGAAGTCTCTTTAACAATGGAGCCTGGTGAGAGTGTGGTCTCTTAATTCCTCACCTGATTTATATAGTGAGATTAAAGCCCAGTCAACTGGAATAAGTGCAGTTGCTTGTTAAACCTCTACAAATCTGCCCAGCCTATACACCATTCTAAATTACTTTCCTTCCAATCAATTAAATCTATACCAAACAACTCTAGCTGTCGATTAAATCAATAGCTCAGTCTATTGGAAAAGGAGCCACTGTCAGTGAGGTTACAGGTAAATATTGAACCAGGTTGATAAATGAGTGTAGCAGGCTGAGTATACAGGCCTGGCACTCTTCACTGGAGGACTATCAATCAGCCAGACATTTCAAATAAAGTGTGGTCCAACAGCTCAGCTCTCCTGGTCATACTGTTACTGGCATTGACTGCAGGTGACTGAGTTTGGTTTGCGTGACAGTAGAAAAGCTTGTTTCCTCGTTCCCTGTTCTCTCTCCCTTCTGTGCCTTGCTCTCCTTGGTCAGTGACGCTAGCCAGTTCCCATACTGAGTAGGCCATCTGTCCGCTTCTCTATAGTGCTCGTCAAAAACAAACCCACCGCTTTTCATATGTACAATCTGCTCAGGCATCTCGCAGCTAGATTTATTTCTTCTTTCACGTCACATGACAGGTAAATGTGCTAAAAATATATTCACTTGAAGTTCTGTGCATCGCCTTGGACAATAGTGTTCGTTAAATGGCTTGAAATGACAGAGAAATGAGCAGTTGTTCTGCATCCACTTTCTCACATAAATGAACACAGCTTGAGAAATGGCGACGTGTTCAGAGATGTGAAGTTGACTCAGATGAGATTTTTCACAGCACAGATTTGCCACACCTTGTATGTGTATGTAATATGGTGATGTATAGAGGCTTAAGAAAGTATTATATCAAATTCTGAAAAACCATCTCTGTATAACTGTTCAAAAGAAGATGAGGGATGTTGACAGGAAGAATCGATAAGTTCAATCACGAGTCTTCACTTCAGTGAGAAGTGAAATTGGATAGTGGGGAATTTGATCCCTGCCATCAACTCATAGACACTTCCTCCCGATTCTGGCAGTGGTGTGGGATGATGGGCTTAGAGTGAAAGAACAAAACAAGAGGCAGAGAGAAATGTTTGAAGATGGGGGTGGGGGGGTGACAGATGTGGTGTTAACCATTTCTCTACCCTTTTTTTTTTTTTTTTTTTTTTCTCTCCCCAGATGCATCATCCTATCCAGATGAAACCCGCTGACAGTGAGAAAACAAGTGGTAAGTGGATTCATCTGAAATGCAGTGTGACACCAGCCAGAGGATGGTAGGATACAGAGATGAAGTCTATTGAGGAAAAATTTAGCCAAGATCAATGGGGTTTGAGGTTTTAAAAATGGGGGACAGGGGCTTTGTTGTCTCTATTTAATGCCAAAATGAAGGCCTGAGAAGGACTTAGCTCAGGGAATGTGCAGCAATACATAGATTCTATATAGTGTCAGGGGCTAGGAGGATTAAGAGCTTTAAAAGACACCAAGGAGAGAAGAGAAGACCAGGTACAGAGGATCTGCAGGAGAGCACAAATGGATGATATAGGCCTCTGTCTAGAGAAGTAGACACTGAGGAAAACAAAGCTGCAAGTTGCAGAGATTTGTAGAAGAAGCTGGCACCTTGAGTGAGAGGCAGAAAATGTGGCAGCATGACAAGGAGAGAGGTTGAACAAGAAAAATAGAGGTGCAAGATTTACTGCCTGATGTAACTGCTTCTTTCATAGCTCCATAATTGTTTGGGTTTAACCGAATAGCTGTTCTCTTTTCATCCTTCTGCAGCGGTTGAAGACAGAAAACTCTTTGTCGGAATGGTTTCAAAGAAATATGGCGAGAACGAGGTCAGAATGATGTTCTCGTCTTTCGGACAGATCGAAGAGTGCCGAATTCTCCGGGGACCAGATGGTCAGAGCAGAGGTAGGTGTAGGCACTGTGTTCTTGGCCTTGCAGCGGCCACCTTCAGTGTAGCCGAGTACATATTCTCACAAAGTATTTATACAGGCCCCTCCCTGCTTCTTCATTTCGTCCCCCTCCACCCCCAAATCAAGTGCTATTCACCTCCAGTGGCACCCATTCCATGCCCATAGTCTATCCTCCTGTCACTGTGACACTCAGCCTCCACATCTCACAGTGAAGGGCCGCTGCACTCGCTGTCCGGCACAATGGCCCGTTGCCTTGGCAACCGCTGGCTGCTGGTGTTCGTGGGCTCAGCTGGCGGACGGCTCAGCTCGGCTCAGCTCCTCCTTTACCGCCTCCTTCATCACACTCTACAAAGGCTGGAATTAGCCTGTCGTCGCTTCTCCTACATAGCTCTCTGCTGCATAAAGCCTCAGATAGTAGGCGGCACAGGGCTCTCATGTTGACGTATACATGATAAAACCTCATAGCAGAGACAGTTAGCCAGAATTTCTGCTCTTTTCTCATAATTGTACGCAGTGCAGCCACAGTTTGGAATGGACCATATGACCCTCTGATGTTTTTGCAGATCTTACATATTTCAGCAAATCAAATCCTTTCGGTGTGTTTGTATTTGTGCATTTTATGTGTATATAATCACATTGACTGTTCCACCATGACACCACATAGTCAAGCCTCTTTGGGTGGCTATTTAATCCGTCGATCACTGTGCTCATGTGACACGTGTTACTGTTCTCCTTGTTGTGTTCTTTCTCCGTGTGCTAACCAGTGAGGGTGGTTCTGTGTGCTTGGGAGTTGCCATTCTCTGTACTGTAATGTGTTTTTTGGGGTTCATAACGAGTTGTCCAAACCTTTTGTCTTGTTTTGTTTCTTCTTGTCCCCCCCCCTCCCCCCCCTCTCTCCTATTGTTCCCCCCCTACAGGCTGTGCGTTTGTCACATTTGCTACCAGGGCAATGGCACAGAATGCAATCAAAACCATGCATCACTCTCAGACTATGGAGGTACTGTACCCCTTAGCACCTATTTCTCACCCCCCCTTCCCCCTCCCCCCTCCCCTTCTTACATTCTGCTGCCCCCTTGTGTTGGAAATATGACAGCCCTGTCCAAGCAGATGGCGTCCATTCATCAGAGTATGAGTCATTTCCAAAACCACTCTTGCTAATTACAAAATTACATTGTTGTCTGCAAAATAATTGAATAAAACTTGAAGCATTGCCTCACACATAGCTGCTGAATCCAGAGTTAAACGGACATGACAGGACACAATGAAAATTGCTGTCATCTCTAATTTTGGGCTGGACTAAATTGATCTCATCTATTGATTCTGATAATATTTTAGGGGCCTAGCCTTCACATTCTACCATAATCAATCTATACTTTGGACCACAGAGAAAAGAGTCCCACAATCAAATAGAGGTTAACAAGGAATTACTCTAGACTGGAGCAGCTAACCTATTAGATTTCTTCAAGAACTGGGTCCATGTCCTTGTGTAGCCAGTAGAGTCTTTGTGGAAGTGGAGCAGCAGTAATTTGACAGCTAGCAGGTCAGAGGCTCCCCAGTGAAGCATCAGACCAAGTCTAATTAGGAGCCTGACCAAACATAACACTCCTCCTACCAGATTAAACACAAGCCCCAGTGGTGGTGCCACCTATACCCCCCCCCCCC